ATCGTCCAGGGCACACTGGCGGGGAGGGGGCTCAGTCTACAGCAGCAGCCAATAGAAATCCGGGACACCGGCACACGGAATGCTGAAGTTCAATGTAAAATCCAGGAAAGCCAGGAAACGAGCGGCCGTGAGCGGAATGGCAATTGTGAATTTGGTTTGCTATTCTCCTGTATTGATTTGGACTGGGGACAAGCAAGCTTCCGGATCCGGTATGTTAGAGATCCGGTATGTGAAGGTTCCGTACGCCCCGCCCACAATTCCTGTGTAGTAGCCATTCGTTCGATGCGGCGGAGGGCAGAGGGCAAGGGGAGGGGCCATGCCGCCTTACACTCTCCCTTCCGCAGAGGGTCTCCCCGCCCCTAACCCCGAATATGGATAAACACAGCGCTATTAGCTCCACCTCCAACATGGCGGCTTCGGTGCCGCCGCAGTGCCTCGACCAAAATGGTAGCCGCACAACTAGGCAGATAAAATGGGAGTTCCTATGCGCTTAACTAGGGCAGCACCTTTATGGGCTCCTGTTTAATGCCCGCTTCTGCGTTACTTCCCCCAGACAAGAGTTTTTAAATGCTGCAGTCTGCTGCCACAAGCAACATGGCGACGTACGTGTGACGCCCCCAATATGTCGCCTTGTGGCGTCAAATTGACGCTAGTGCACAAGCGCAGTTGAGGTGAACGGCGGCCTATAGTCCCTGAACAAATATTGTGGGGTGTGACGTGAATAGGATGGCAGTGGTGTATCCCTGTACAGCGGATGAATGTTAACACACGGTGTGAATAGTGCTGGGTGAATGTGCCATGCTTTATTTGTAATGGGCTCAATGACTTGTACAAATCTGCTCTACTGACCTAAGAGGGGAATGCCACTGATTACTATTGGGGGGGTGTAAATCTTGATGTTAAGGAGGAACTTTAAGCCATTTCCTTGTGTTTGTTTTTTTTCCCATCTTTTAGGCCGAGTTATCCACAAAACGCACACATGCTGGGCAAAGCCAGCAGTGCCTTGTAGTGGCTGCGACATACATGGTGCAGCACCTTCATTTATTTTGTCGCCATAAGCATTGCACCTTCAGGGACGGCTGTCTCTTCGGGATTGTTGCGGTTATTCACCTGATGAGCCACGGTGCATCATCGGGACAGCTGCAAGAACCAGGAAGAGACGGCCACCCCCCTGATGATGTGGTGACTGTACTATGGATTGCCACGAAGCCTCCTGAGATGCATGGTGTAAGTATCTGGAGGCTGCAGGCGAAGGAGGCGTTCATCATTTTTGCCTAGGCAAGAAAGCCAGAAGTGCTGAGCAGTGGTGTACTAGGTGAGGTGCAGACCCACTGGGGGTGCTGTGAGCTCCTAAAATGTATTTTTTGTGTTGCACAGTAATGTCCCATGCAACACAAAAAAAAATGTCAGGTGGCACATCCAGCAGATCAGCATCTTGTGCTTTAGTCTTCCTGCACACTGGATGTTTTTACAGCGGCTGTTTTTGGCTCTTGACCTTTTTTCTACAGCCCATAAACTCCCCAACATGTTATCCTATGTGTACATGCACACATAGACTAATCAACATTTTGTGGCTGGAAAAAAAAACCCAGGACTAGTGGGTTCTAGAGGAGTTTTTTTAGCTGTAAAAATGCTCTAACGTGGTAAAACGCCACAAACCGGTGTTTTTGGACTTTTTTTTTATCCCAAATGGGTCAAATAAGCGCTAAAAAACACAAACATGGGAAAATGCCGCTAATTGCGGCTAAACGCTAATGCTAAAAAGCTGAAAAACTCATGTTTTTAACGTGACTTTACACAGCTAACGTTACCAGCGTTATCAAAACATCCAGTGTGCATGAGGGCTTCGTGACAGCAGGAGCTCAATGTGAGAGGGAGTCTACTTCCCTGCTCCAGGCTTTCGCCTACCATTATATACAGTGCCTTGAAAAAGTATTCATACCCCTTGAAATTTTCCACACGTCATGTTACAACCAAAAACAAATGTATTTTATTGGGATTTTATGCGATAGACCAACACAAAGTGGCACATAATTGTGAAATGGTTTTCAACATTTTTACAAATAAATATCTAAACAAGTGTGGCGTGCATTTGTATTCAGCCCCTTTTACTCTGATACCCCTAACTAAAATCTAGTGGAACCAATGCCCTTCAGAAGTCACCTAATTAGTAAATAGAATCCACCTGTGTGTAATTTAATCTCAGTATAAATACAGCTGTTCTGTGAAGTACTCAGAGGTTTGTTAGAGAACATTAGTGAACAAACAGCATCATGAAGGCCAAGAAACACTCCAGACAGGTCTTGGATAAAGTTGTGGAGAAGTTTAAAGCAGGGTTAGGTTATAAAAAAATATCCCAAGCTTTGAACATCTCATGGAGCACTGTTCAATCCATTATCTGAAAGTGGAAAGAGTATGGCACAACTGCAAACTATGGAAGAGTGGCAAGAAGAAAGCCATTGTTGAAAGAAAGCCATAAGAAGTGCTGTTTGCAAAAACCCATGTGGGGGACACTGCAAACGTGAAAGAAGGTGCCCTGGTCAGATGAGACCAAAATTGAACTTTTGGCCTAAAAGCAAAATGCTATGTGTGGTGGAAAACTAACACTGCACACCACCCTGAACACACCACCCCCACCGTGAAACATGGTGGTGGTAGCATCATGTGGGGATGCTTTTCTTCAGCAGTGACCAGGAAGCTGGTCAGAGTTGATGGGAAGATGGATGGAGTCAAATACAGGGCAATCTTAGAAGAAAACTTGTTAGAATCTGCAAAAGACTTGAGACTGGGGCAGAGGTTCACCTTCAAGCAGGACAACAACCCTAAACATACAGCCAGAGCTACAATGGAATGGTTTAGATGAAAGAATATTCATGAGTTAGAATGGCCCAGGCAAAGTCCAGACCTAAATCGAATTGAGAATCTGTGGCAAGACTTGAAAATTGCTGTTCACAGACGCTCTCCATCCAATCTGACAGAGCTGAGCTATTTTGCAAAGAATGGACAAAAATGTCACTCTATAGATGTGCAAAGCTGGTAGGGACATACCCTTTTGCAGCTGTAATTGCAGTGAAAGGTGGTGCTACAAAGTATTGACTCAAGGGGGCTGTATACAAATACCGCCACACTTTTCAGATATTTATTTGTAAAAAATTTGGAAAACCATTTCTCATTTTCCTTCCACTTCACAATTACAGTATGTGCCACTTTGTGTTGGTCTATCACATAAATTCCACTAAAACACATTTACGTTTTTGGTTGTAACATGACAAATTGTGGAAGATTTCAAGGGGTATGAATACTTTTTCAGGGCACTGTATTTTGACATTTTGATGTCTGCACTCCATAAACACAGACTTTGTAAATAAACCACACTTGTGTTTCACCAAGATCCTGCTATCTTGCTGTGTCTTTTTCATTGTGCTGTGACTCATCCAGGGGGTCAAGCACAACCCGCTACTGAGCTAATGCCTCACAGTACTTAGTGGTCTGTGCTGAGGGGTTTGTACTGGTGGAGGGGCATTCTCTACAGAGGGATATATGTTGGGGGAATTGAGGGGTGTTAGGGGAGATCTGTACTGTGTGCAGCAATTTTTACTGAGAAGAGGGTGTGCTGAGGTTTGTAAGTGTCTGGTAAGGCTCATTCACACTAGTGGTGTGGGGGGTGGTAAAAATCTTAAGCTATAATTAGCTGCAGTGGCTGGGAGTGTACACATGCCAGGGCTGTGATGCTTTGCTTTGTGACCACAGCATGAATTCTACCCCCTGCTGCTTTCAGCCTCATTCAAGTGCTCCACAACTGCATGTAATGAATGCTGTTGTCTTTCACTAGTGTGGGGTTCAAAGGGTTAAAGCAGGCGGTGAGGCGGCAATGCAGTGGCTCCTAATGCCTCTGAAAATCAATGCAAATGTGAATTGCTCTTTAGAGAACTGGCCCTTACGCTTTTGCTTGTGGCACAATCATTAAAGCGTATTTTATGGGTAAAAGGACTGTGGCAGGCAGTTCCGTGGATAATGGGGGTACCACCAGTCCTCCTGTACGGGGCCAAGGCCAGCAGGGGTGCCCAGGCAGCTGGGTGAATCCAATGTGGGCAGGGAGGGTGATGACTGGAACCTATCCACAGTATGGCTGTCTGCAGCAGCTGAATGCCAGCTTCTCCTCTCACTCCCACTGGCTTTCAGCTGCTGCAGAGAGCCATACAGGGGATCAGTTCCAGGAATTGCCCCTTCCCTGCTGCACCCATCACCCTCCCTGTGCACCATACGTTTCCCCCTGCTGCCCAGGCCCCCTGTGTGCCCCCACCCCCGCAGTGCTGCCAGCTTCCCTCCTCTCCTTCTCATTGGCAGGTGCAAGCACACAATAGGATCCTTCAGGATGGAGAGTGGGGAAGGGCCCGGTAAATATGTCACATTTATCAGCCCCTTCCTATCCTGAATGAACACAATGAATGATTGGTACTGATCACTCACTGTGTTCATTCACAAGTGAAGCATAGAAAACTGGGGGGGTTTTTTTGGTAGGGGGGCCCTGTCAGGTTGGCTGTATGGGGCCCCGTGGTTTCTAACAGCAGCCCTGTGGCATGTGTGAGCTGAGTATCGGAGAAGTAGGCTTAGGATTTATTTATCTATGCCCCTTTAAGCCTCTCTCATTGTTAATGCAGTGTGACCACATCCACAAGTCAGGACTGCGTGCCCTGATTTATTTTTTCATGACATATTTTTTTTTGGAGGGGGGGGGGGAGTGTAAATAGTGCAAATAAAAAAAATTACCAGCCCCCTGTTGTAAAATGTTTTAGGTACACCACTGGTCCAGAGCAAAAAATAAAAGTTACCTGATTCTCAGCAGCAGCTGGTTCTAAGTGCAACCATATGCAATATGTTTCCTTCTTCATCGGAGAAAAATGATCCAAGCTCATCAACTTGTGCATTCCTAGCCCTCCAACTACAAGAAGAGAAAACACCACCACTAAGGGCTGGTTCACACTAGATGCAGTCCAGTGCAGGGGCAGACTGACCATTTGGAAACTTGGGCACTGCCCGAGGGCCCAGGGTCAGTAGGGGGCCCCATGAGATGCCCCTGGTACCTTTTTCATAGGCTTTTTTGAGTTTGAGCAAGGACACAGGGGCCCCATGATCCCCTATTGCCCGGGGGCATGAGATGTCCGCCCCTAGTCCAGTGCGCTTTTTCTCTGCATCAGAAATGAATGCATAGTGTTTTCCGTGTATTACAATGGCCCTAGCTCACACCAGTGCAGTCAGTTTCTGGTGCAGAAAAAAAAGTAGAACATGCTGCATTTTTTTCTGCACAGAACTGTACTGTAACACAGCAAAATGCACCAGAACGGAGTGTGTTGTGAACTCTAAGCAAAAAACTCATCCGAAGTGCATTTATGTGCTGTGAACTGGCCCTAAATACAGAAACTCTAGAAATGTTGTCTCCTTTAGAAAGATGGGAGTTGCATCCTATACCAGCAGAGACAAAGGCAAAAAAACCCCAAGCTCCTGCTGTATCATTCATGATGACAAACCACCTCCTCTAAGAAGGTGTCCTGGCTGCATTCAAGGTAAAGTCCCCTGAAGAACATAAGGAGTGTCTAAAGAGCCATGACATTTGCTTCAGATGTTGCACATCCACCAGAGAGAGCGAGACTATAGTTAGGTGCTCAGAATGTGACAGTGACAGGCACATATCAGCCTCACACCAAGGCCCTTTAACTGCTTCCCAACCATGCTATAGCTGAAAGATGGCTACAGCGCAGTTGTCCAGTTCTGGGAGGGCATCCATGGACGTCCTCCCAGAACACGCCCCCTGCACCCGGCGCTGTCAGTGATCGCTGTGTCCTACGCATACAGCTGTTCACGTGATTCGGTAAGAGGCCAATCACAGCGGCCCTTTACCGCATGATCAGCTGTGTCCAATGACACAGCAGATCACATTGTAAATACAGTTGCCGATTATCGGTAGCACTTTCCTCACGCTGTCACAGCTGAGGAAAGTACTGCCGATAACCGGCAAATGTGACGGGAGATTAGCACTGATTATCAATGCCACCCAGCAATGCCGCCCGTCAGTGCCCAGCAGTGTCACCCAGCAGTGCAGACCGCCAGTGCCCAGCAGTGCTTCCAGTCAGTGCCGCCCATCATTGCTGCATATCAGTGCATCATCAGTGCCTCCTCAACAATGCCCATCAGCGCCGCCTCATCAGTGCCAATCATTGCTACCCATCAGTGCAGCTTCATCGATTCACATCAGTGAAGGAGACAAATTACCTGTTTGCAAAATTTTATAATAGAAACAAAGAAAAACATTTTTTTTTAATTTTTTGCTCTTTTATTGTTTATAGTGCAAAAAATAAAAAACCCAGTGACAAGTAAATATCACCAAAAGAAAGCTCTATTTGTGTGAAAAAAATTATACAAATTTCATATGGGTAGAGTGTTGCATGACTGCGCAATTGTTATTCAAAGTGCAACAAAACTGAAAGCTGAAAATTGGCCTGGGCAGGAAGGGGGTGAAAGTGCCCGGTAGGCAAGTGGCTAAACGAAATTCTACTTCCACTGAAGATCTTACACCTGTGTCAGATCATGGCAGGGAGATCAATGAGCAGTCACCTCCAACCATCATATCTCAATAAAGAGCTATGTCATGAAGGACTTTCAGAGATAATCAGAACTAGTACAGTATATATCTGGGGAAAGTGTTTTCACGGGGACAGCCAGGGAAAGTTGTCAGGATGTATGCTGTTTTAGATGACCAACGCAGCCATTTGTTTGCTACTTCAGAGTTCTTTGACAAGTTTTTCTTTTTTTTTTAAGGAAAAGTTTATTAGTGTTTACAGGAAAACAATAGAACATTAATAACTGTACATGTCCAGTCATTACCAGATTTAACCAATATACAATTCCATCTCAAAGAGTGATTCTTCACATACGGTTTAGCATCCTTTCAGATATTCTGTCCATATACAGTATAATACTAACAATATTTTTGCCATGTATATGTAAGCAAGTGCAGCGCTGAAATGTCTAATAAATAAAGTGGAACAGTAAAGTGCATCACATAAAATATATAACACTGACGAAAAAACAATACAAATTAAATAGAATTATATAGTGCATCATAAACTATATGTGCCAAAACAGAACAATAAAGTGCATGGTATAAGAGTGCAGCAAATCTTCAGTAAATCACATGATAAAATGGAACAGTAAATGCATCTAAAACTGAATGGATAATGCGGAACAGCAAAGTGCATCATATAAGAGTGCAAAAACCGTCAAGTGAATCAACTTCAGTAAATATAAATATAAAGTGCCTCATAAATGCATAGATAATGTGATGAAGTCCGTAATAATGCATAATATCATATGCAATAAAGATAAAATATTACAGAATTATACGGATGGTAAAACTGATAATGTTCGTGATTGGATGTAATCCACGTAAATTTCCGTGAAACAATAAGGTGCAGCGAAATAAAGTGCTGGGTGTAAGTGTGATAATATTCACGCAGGAGAATCTGCCACTTCTAATGGATATACACTCACCAGAATCAAACTGGTAACAGGCATTTCAAGCATAACACATCTTGAGGTACTTTATCAGTTTTACCATCTGTATAATTCCGTAATATTTTTATCTTTATTGCATATGAGATTTCGCATTATTACGGACTTCATCACATTATCTATGCATTTATGAGGCACTTTATATTTATATGAAGTTGATTCACTTGACGTTGATTCTATTTAATTTTTATTCTTTTTTCGTCAGTGTTATATATTTTATGTGATGCACTTTACTGTTTCTCATCTGGAATATGCAGTTCAGTTTTGGGCACCAATTCACAAAAAGAACATTGGGGAACTTGAGAAAGTACAGAGAAGGGCAACTAAGCTGATACGAGGCATGGAGGAGATCAGCTATGAGGAAAGATTAGAGGAACTGAATTTATTCTCTCTTGAGAAGAGGAGATTAAGGGGGAATATGATCAACATGTATAAATACATCAGTGGTTCATATAGTGAACTCGGTGTAGAGTTATTCACCCTGAGGTCAACACAGAGGACAAGGGGGCACTCTTTACATCTGGAGGAAAGGAGATTTAATCTCCAAACACGGAAAGGTTTCTTCACAGTGAGAGCTGTGAAAATGTGGAATAGACTCCCTCAAGAGTTTTGGTTCTGGCCAGCTCAGTGGATTGCTTCAAAAAAGGCCTGGATTCTTTCTTGGATACACAGAATATAACTGGATACTAACAATTGTAGGTAAAGTTGATCCAGGGAATATAATAGGGATCAGGAAGGATTTTTTTTCCCAGCAGGAGCAAATTGGATCGTGCTTTGCTGGGGTTTTTTTTGCCTTCCTCTGGATCAACTGTGGGTATAGGATTATAACTTTTTTTTTAATGGTTGAACTGGATGGACTTTTGTCTTTTTTCAGCCAGACTAACTATGTAATTATGTAACTTTATTTATTAGTCATTTCAGCACAGCACTTGCTTACATATTCATTTGTGGGGATTGTTACCTGCCTTTTGTGCTAGCTGCTTTCCAATTGCCAGCGCTCACCTTTTTCTACTATTTACATTAATTTTTTTGCCATGTTTACATTGATGATGAGTTCACCAATTATAAATGTTGTTCTCCCCCCCACAGGAGCCACTGGTTGTATTGGGTCCTCTGTTCTTACCTTGACCTCTACAAAGACTACTTCACCTCTGACACCTCTGGTATACATGTCAATAGATACAGACTAATAACTTTTGTCCAGAGTCTAAGGGTTAGGTAGTATAATGCCAAAATATATTGAGAATATGTGTACTCAAAAATGACAGATTACAATGCGGAAACTTTTTGACATGTACAGTTTTGAATATCAAACAAATGTAGTAGGAGTGTCACCTTGGGTTCTGGTAGGGTCAGTATGTAGCCTTCCCACTGGAACTGAGCAACATAAGACAACGGTGAGCTTGGTATCAATAGAATAATGGCTAAGTCACCTAGAGTCAATTATGGTGAGGTGGCCAGGGTCAAGAATATAATACAATAACTGCAAAACTCTTGATTATGCAGGATAACAGGTACTCAAACACAGTCTTTAACCACTTGCCTACCAGGCACTTATACCCCCTTCCTTACCAGGCCAATTTTCAGCTTTCAGTGCTGCCGCACTTTGATTGACAATTGCGCGGTCATGCAACATTGTACCTATATGAAATTTTGATCATTTTTTTCTCACAAATAGAGCTTTCTTTTGATGGTATTTAATCGCCACTGGGGGCTTTACTTTTTGTGCTATAAATAAAAAAAGTGCAAAAAATTTGAAAAAAAAAAAAAAAGTTTATTTGTTTCTTTTATAAAATTTTTCAAACCGGTATTTTTTCTCCTTCACTGATGTGCGTTGATGAGGCAGCACTGATGGGCACTGATAGGCGGCACTGATGGGCACTGATAGGCAGCACTAAAGGGCACTGATAGGCAGTACTAATGAGGTGGCACGGATAGGCGGCACTGATAGACAGCACTAATTAGGGGTCACGGATAGGCGGCACTAATATGCAGCACTGATAGGTGACACTGATGATGGGTACTGATAGACGGCACTGACTGGCATCACTGCTGGGCACTGACTGGCGGCACTGACTGGCACAACCCCTGGGCACTGACTGGTGACACTGACTGGCAGCACTGCTGGGCTGCACTGGTGGGTGGGCACAGGTGGGTGGCACTTCTGGGCACATGTAGGTGGCACTTCTGGGCACAGGTAGGTGGCACTGCAGAGTGGCACAGGTGGGTGCACTGCTGGGCACAGGTGGGTGCACTGATGGGCACAGGTGGGTGCACTGATGGGCACGGATGGGCGGAGCTAGTGGGCGCACTGCTGGGCGGAACTTGCGGGTGGCACTGCTGGGCACCGATCATCAGGGCACTGATCATCAGTGCCCTGATGATCGGTGCCGATCCCCGCTCTGACAACTGCCGGTTCTCTGCAGTACTTTCCTCACGATCTGACAGCGTGAGGAAAGTGCAGCCGAGAACCGGCACTTGCATTTCCTTCTGATCAGCGTGTCATTGGACACCGCTGATCAGGTGGTAAAAGGCCGCTGTGATTGGCCTTTTACCACATCACGTGATCAGCTGTGTCCGTAGGACACAGCGATCACGGAGATCGCCGGGTGCGCGCCCCCTGGGGCGCGCAGGAGAGTGCGTTCTGGGAGGACGTCATATGACGTCCACTCAGAACTGGCCGGCCGCAGTGAAGCCGTCATTCGGCTATCTGCGGTCGGCAGCTGGTTAAAGTAAGTCTTCGGCCGGCCATGTTGGAGCTCTTGAGAGACGTTGACGCGCTAGAGGGAATCGTTTCTGCAACAAGAAAATGGTTTGTAGAACACTGGTTTCCTAAGAGTACTGAGTGAAGCAGTGTCCAGAAAGGGGTCAATTATCAGAAGTATAATATTAGATATCTCTCTGATGTTCAGGGATACAGTTCTGAGCAGCATGCCTATGGCTTTCAATAGATTTTACTACAAGGTCAGTCAAAAGGTTACAAATGGTTGATATCCTACTCACCAACTCCACAGTATCTGTAGTAGCAGGTCTTCTTTAGTGATGAACACGGCCCCCTTTAAGATGAGAACAATTCCAGTTGAGCTTCTGCGGCAATCAGACAGTGGTAGCTCCACAGCTGCTGCCTTAGCTAGGCTCTGTGGCATCACAGCAGAAATCGTCAGGTCTGGGTCTATGGCAGCTCTGGTACTAGGCCTCAGGATGATTCCACAGCGACAGCGGCACAGACACAGACTGGACTTGGCAGATTGCAGCATCTTTTTCAGCTCTCCGGAACTGACAGACATGTCTCTGGTATAATGCACAGTCTCTCTCTGTATCTTCCTTCCTCTCGTCTTTCTCAGACAGGACCATACATTCTCTCCTTCCACTAACTCTGCTTTCCCGGGTTTTTTTTTTCTTATGACCCTTCCTGCACTTAAGCACACCGGTGTTGTAGTTTTCTCGGTGTGTTTTGATAATGGGATTCCTTCTGTCTGGGACTACATTTTCCATCAGGAACCTCTCTAGCTGTGGTTTGTGGTGGAAAAATGGAAGGGAACTTCTTGCAAGAATGTTAACTATAACAATGCATTAATAAACCTGCACATTTAGTTAAAATGCGTATTGTTACATATAGTACATTGCTCAAAAAATTTAAGGAA